TCGGACACTCTCGGGCTCTGTGAGAACGGCCCGATTAAACATTCTTATTCTATTGCTACTGAACTTGTGCTGAGATTTAAAACACATTAATTCCCAGAGCGACTGTTGGGAGTCTTAGCTGTCTCCCTCCTTTTCAGGCACCGCCGAGGGCAGCCCTCATTAAGAGCGGCTGAGGGCCGGGGTCCTAGGTTGCTATGACGACACGTAGGCGTTCCGAGAAAAGGCGGAACGCAAGATGTCTGGCGGGAAATGTGATTACGAATACGGGTTGCAAGTGTCCGTTTCCCTGGAAGTCTGAGACGGAAACGGTGCGAACGGTGCCCGAGCCGAGCCTGTGGAGCTGGCGTGCGAGGGCGCTGCCCGTGGGTAGCCGGAGACCGGGCCGACAGGGGTGCCGGCGGTCGGTGGGTCCAGCGTGTCCTTCCCGACTCGGACGCTGACCCTGACCCACCACAGGCTTCTTAGTCGCGTTGGGCGGGGAACGCAGAAGCCTCCCCAAGGAAGGCAACCCCATGATAGACGAATTGTTAACTCCGATATTTAACATAAGCTCATAACGGGTCTCTCCCTCTTTTTTTATTTTGCCTGCAGGTCACTGGCAGCCCTGCCTAACATGCTGCTGATTTGTTTCTAGGTGAGCTTTCTGGAAGGATATTTCAAATTACTAAGGAGAGTGATTTGAGGCATTGTTTATTATGGCTCATCCGAAAACGCCCTGCACATCTCTCGAGGGCAAAAAAGTAAACGTCTCTGCACCCAAGGAAGAGACAGGTGAAGTTCTTCACGGGTCCTACAGACGTAAATAATCACGGCCATAGACAGAAATCATGATCTGTCCACCGTTTTCTTTCATCTGAGAGTTCAGGATACCTTAATTAGCGTAGTTTTTTTCAGTACACTTGTTGCAATAAAAGCCATTCTCTTTATAGTATTTTTGAGTCAGGCTGTTGTTTCACTATTCCACCTGTGTAATTTATTTTCAAAGGCTGATTGCTTTATATTCTTTTAAATTCACCCTGTTTTAAATACCAATAATTGTATGAAACAGTACCTTTTTTTTTTTTTTGGTACCTAGTGAGGAACCAGTTTGTATCAGGCTTTTGTAATTATTCTAAATGAAAATAATACCTTATATAAGATATTCATTCCTATACAGATAAATGCAAATCTACATTAGAATAAGAATCAGCTGGACTCATTCTTCGTTTGTAGGAGAGGTTGTGCTAAAGCCACATCTGAACTTTTTTTTTTCTTTTTCCTCTGATAACTCCGATACCACCGCAAACTTTCAAGAAACAGATTTGATAATTTGAACTTTAGAGGTTTTGATGGTGATCAAGGCATGATACCTCCTTATAGAAATTAACACAAGCCATACTAAGTGAGGGGCAGAAACTAGTGGAGAGCTCTGTAGGAGTGACAGCCTAACTTTCCTTGACTGACTTTATAGGAGACTTTTTCCTGTACTGGCCCTACCTTTACACCTCCTCCGCCCTAGTCAAGCTGAGTAGGACACTCTTTGTACTATTCTTCCTCTAACAATTTGCTCAGATTATTCCACTCTCTTCATTTCCAAAAATCCCAATTCTACTTTTATGTTTAAACCTAATCCAGATCCCATCCACTCTATAAATGCCCAATTTACTGTATTTCCACCTTTGAACTTACATAGAAAAAAATATACAAAATAATTTGACAGTTTTGAGAACAGGAGGCTTCTTTTGTCATTTTTCACATCACCGGGAAAATAGGCATTCTCATCATCTTAAGGCTGTCCAAGTTCACTGAGCAAGTGAAGTGAATTTATTTTTGAACTTTGGATTTGGAGTCATGGAATAATGAGTTTTTGAACCTGTGTCTGATGGAAGTGTAAGTAGGGCAGGCAATATGAGTTGCTTTTTCTTGATCAGATGCTGTTGAGTATTTTAAATATTCTTGGCAACCAGATGCAGTGTTTCGTCTGTTAGGAACATATAAAATGGGATTGGTGAGACAGCCTGGGAACTGCCAACTAACTCCAAAAAAAAACCACAGTACGCTTTTTTCCCCATTGTTTTCTTAGGACTTCCTGAAATAAGACATAGAAAAAATATGGTGGATCGCGCAAAACCCTGTCCAACTCCCCTTCAGAATGAGTTCATCCCTCAGGAAGTTCTTCTTTCTCTGACCTCTGCAGCCAATGCTGGTTCTTGTCCTGAAAACTTACTGCCTCTTAAAACTAAAACCCCAAAGGTGTGTATATACATGTATAAAGTACTTTGGAAAACTTAGCTTTTTGGTATCCAGTTCATTATTTATTGAGCATATGTTATGTATTTCAGAGTCTCTTAAAACGTATGTTTACATTATTTTCCTATATTGAAATCTAAAATCTTTTGCATGGGTGTTTCTAAGGAAATCCTTGAGTATTGCCGTTAACTTGTTTTTATGTGATTTACCTAAATGATCACTACTACTATTAGTCTTGATATTTTTCTTTCATATTGAAGAATTGTTCAAGTTTCAGTCTTTCTCCATAATATTGAATAAGAATTTTGCTCTCTCTCTCTCTCTCTTTTTTTTATGTAGAATAAACAGATGCCCTTCATGTAAATACTCAAAATGGTTAATATGTTTTCTTTGACTAGTGCGCCCTCTGCTGTATATTCACGTTTTTGTTCTTTACCAGGGCACCCTTCCGCGCACTGTCGATCACGTCTGGCATCACCCTATTCGAAGGAATAAGTTCAAATATCTGATTGACCATCCTGTTTCCCTAACGGGAGCTGGAAGGTAAAAAAGGAAGATATTCGGGGTAGATGCAGATGAACATTTGTTTTTTTTTATTTCTTATGATTTCCTTGGGAGGGGCAGCATTGGAAAAATCATCATCAAACATTTTGAAGCTTTCAGTATCTTTGATGAATCACAGTACAATCTGAAGAGGGACCTCCACCTTATCAGTAGAATGGCAATAGGTGCTAACTGTACTTTTAGTTTGTTTAAAAAATTTTTTCGTATATATTTCTTTTTAAAATATACCTTTATTGTTGAAAGTATTACATAGGTCCTCCTTTTCCCCCCATTAACCTCTTCTAGCCTGCTGTCCATGTCCACGAGTTATGCATATATGCATACAAGTTCATTGCTTGATCTCTTCCCATCCACCCTCCCCTGCCTTCCCTGAGGTCCAACAGCCTGTAAATTTTCTTTTTGCATGCCTTTCTTTATCCTCTTACTTGCCTATTCCTTGTGCCCTAGTAAAAGGGACCACATCATACAGGCAGGACGCCTCTAATGCCTCTTGTTTTTGTATATCTGAGGAATGCTGGGTAACATAGCTTCAAGATGTGGAAAACCTTGACAAATAAGTGCTTAAACCCTGGTTTTCCTCCAAGTGAACCCTTAACCTTTACACTGTTTCAGATCAAATCCGTAAATACCCTTTGTTGTTTTTATATCATTCCTAAAATTTAATATTCTAAATGTCAACATTTTCCTGTGAAAGATTGTGACCTGCTCATTTTCTGTGCATGGCCCATTTGTCAACGTAACTCTCTGTTTGCTTCTTACTGAAATATCACTTCATCTGAAAAAAACAAACAAATGTTTACTGGTACTTGGGTAGGTTATTCAGTCTTTCTGAGTTCTGTTTTCTCATTTATGAAAAGAGAATAAGAGACAGGCTCCACTTTGTGCACCCTGCACGGATATAGAACAACAAATGCAATGATGAATGGAAGAGCACTTGTGAAACCACACAGTGCTCTTTAAATATGAGGTGTTTGCCATATCAGTATTAGAAAAGATGACAGAAACTTGGGCCATTGACTTTTGTGTCCTGTGTCATAACGTGTATTTTATGCCATCAGATCATGGCTATAGTTATTAATAGTAATAATCAGTAGTTATGAGATGTTTGAAGTACTTTGAAAAATAATTAGCTATATCTGAATATGGCAATTAACTGACATGAAAGCTTCAATGTCAAAAGACTTCTGACTTGGAATTCTTTTAATGCGAAGATCTGTTTTGTGGTAGACAGGACAATGGCTTCCCCAAAATGTCCTCACTGTAACCCTCGGAAGCTTCCATGGCAAAAGGGACTTGTCAGATGTGATTGAGGTTAAGGACCTTGAGATGGAAAGATTATCCTGGATTATCAGGATGGGCCCAAATTAATTGCCCAAGTCTTTAAAAGTGGGAAAGGAAGGCAGTGGAATGGGTTGGAGAGATGAGACAGGAGAAGAAGGGTGACAGATTTGAAATCTAAGAGGGACTCAGCCTGCCATCGCTGGCTTCGAGGATGGAGGAAGCGAGAAAACAAGCTGAGAATCGTCATTGGCCACTAGAAGCTGGGAATGGCCTTCAGCTGACAACCATCAAGGGGAACCAATAGACTGTATTCCGTAATGACCAATACCAATTAAAATCGGGGGGAGGAACAGAGACTTCTGAAAATTATGTGCAGTAAGTGACATGATTATAACCTCCTTAGGGAGATAAATCTAGTAGAAGCATGTAGACTATCGGAGAAACGTGAGAATGCACACAAAAATAACAACTTGGAGGAGTGATTTTGGCATTGGCAAAAGACGGGAGGACCAACCGATGGAATGATAGAAGGGTGGCTGTAAAATTAACGTGTTAGTGATAGGTGGATATCGAGGGCTAAGGATGGGAAGCAATCCGTTACGGATGCCGAGATTTTGATGAGTAGAGGGTGGTGCTAACTGACAGAATTAGTGGGTGTTGGAGGATGAACGTTAGAATGGAGGAAGATACCAGCTGTGCCAGGAGGTAACAAATGTGATAAGTGAGATGTGATGACATTGACAAGGGAGAACGTGTAGGTAAAGAGCAAAGAGATGAGGACAGAGTGTGGTGGAGCATTTCCGTTTAGTAGCCGGGAGGTCACGGAGAAGTCCAAGGAGTAGCAGTTAGAGAGGATGGAAGAACCAGGGAGTCCAGCAACACAGGACAGAGGAGAGTGCCTTTCAAAAGGGAGGTGACCAACCCTGGGAAAAATCCAGGGAAGTAGTGGGAGGTAAGAACTGATCACTTAGCAGTGGAAAGTCATTGTCGGCTTCCTGGAGAATAGTTTCAGCAGCAGAGACGAAGATGGAAACCAGATTTTGGGGAAATTTCAAGAAGTTGGATGTTTAACTGAAAATGAGAGATAGATGATAGATCCATTGATGGATCAACCAATTGATCGTGGTAAAATGACAATGCATCATCAGGGCAGATTCTTAGAAGGGGGAAAGACTTCAGTAATAGGCCAAGGAGGATGTTCCAATGGAGTGGGGAGATACACAGAGGTTATGATTGGTGAAATGAGATCCTCAAGGATGTGGGAAAAGATGAAATCAAGGACATACGTGGAGGAAATAATCCCGAGAAAGGGAATATATCTTAAACTGAGATGGAAGGACAGGAATTTGTGATGTGGGTGAGAAGGTGGAGGAGAGAAGAATATGGGGAGAACTCATGTCTAAAGACTCAGCCCTGGTAAGTATGAGGGACGGAGACCAGTTTTGTGCCCCTTTCTACCCATGAGAAGGCTGTGTGGGTCTTACCAACTCTCGTCCAGCTGCCAGACTGAAAGTCGATTTTATAAATATATTTTTCTTACTTTTCAGGGATATTTCTTTTCTGTACGATGTTAAATATGTTAAAGGAGAGCCCAGGGAGGGTATACTTTGCCCCCCACGTTCAAAACCTTCATTACAGTCACATGACGGTGCCATTGTGCCTCATAAGGTAAAGAGAGAATTTGAGCCTGTTGGAACTACAACTAAGCTAAGAGGTTCTATGCTAGGCTCTTCGGAGTTAGGCTTCACCCTTTGGGACTGGCTTCACCTGTTGGGGGGCTAGGCTCTGCCTTTCGGGACTGGCTTTGGAAGAAAAGGAAAAAGGAATTTGATCAATAATTTCATCTTCCTCTCTTTACTTAAAAAAAAGGTTTTCCCAAAATCTAAAGCAGTGTTGTACTATAACTACGATCTGCATTGCTTACCAGTTTTCCTATTGCTTTTAATTATTTCTAGAAAATGGTGTTTACTGAGAAAAGAGCAAAAGTATCTTATTTTAAGCCATTTCCCAAACTACTGTTGTTCACTTTAATCTAGAAAATGCAATTTAGGAGATTAATTTTTTTTTTTTTTTAGAATCCACAGTTTAAAGTTGTAGAATTCTTATTTGGGGGATATTGCTAAGGTGAATTTTAACTTCCTATTTAATTTTAAAGTCAGTGGATTTCTGACTAGTATATTGGACACCTGTAACTAATAGACCAAAGTTATTATGTAATTCAAGTTTTTTTAAAAGACATGCTCTGCCAATTTTTATTTTTTTTACTACTTGCCATTTCCCGTATTACTAATATTATTTTTCTAATCAAAATCTCTTAATAAATAGCATCCTTTTGGGACAGGGATGAGGATTTGGGCAATTCTTTTTTTAAAAAAAAATCTAATGTTTTCATTCTTGTCATTCTTCTTAAGCCAAAGAAACTAACAGATACTTTGATTCCTGAAGAATTTCACATTGTGTCCAGTACAGGAGTTTCAGGTTTGGAGTGCTATGATGAGTGAGTACTATGTTATATACTGAATATCTCCCTCTCCCTCTCGCACCCTCCCTTCCACTCTAAAAAAAAAAAAAAATCAATGGAAAACATATCCTTGGGTGAGGATTAACAACAACAACAAACTAGAACTGGATTAATGTTTTATAATGAAACTAGAGGCCCAATGCACGAATTTCGTGCAAGAGTGGGCCTTCCTGCCCCCAACTGCCGGCACTGGCTTCCCTCCAGCCACCAGCAAGCATCCGGGGCCTGGGCTTCCCTTGCAGCCCCGGCTTCACCTGGAAGGTTGTCTGGAAGGACATCTGGTCTAATTTCCATATTATACTTTTTTTATTATAGATATCCAGAATGTCTCACTCTTTTTACCTTATCTAGTACATATGTTATATGGCATTTCCTTGTGATGATGGGTTTTAGGATAATATTTTGCCAAGTAACTAAATAGAACTGATTTTGGGGGTAACTTTTAATTTTTATATAGTTAAAATTATTAAAAAGTTACAAAAATAGGACTCCCTATCCTGACTCACCAAATACTTTTATTGCTTTACAGACAGACAGACAGACAGACAGACACACACACACACACACACACACTATTCAAGAGTAAGTTGGAGACATCATGACCCTTTACCAAAAATACTTATTTTATATTTCCTAGCAACCCTCTAGTTATAGATCTTCTTATGACTTTTTAACTCCATCATTTCTTCTGTATTTATTATTTTGCATTTTACCATATGGACTCATGGATTTCTTTTTGTTTTCAATAGGTTATAATTCTTCACTATGATATTTATTTTGATGTTTAAAAATTTTCAGATTTGGCCAATGTCAGCTCCTTTGAGCTAGCTCTGTGTTCTTTAAGCGTGTCCCCCAAAGCCTTTGAGTGTTCTCTTATTTTCTGACTCGATAAGATTTCTAGGTTCACCTTGTATTTCACAACTTCAGCTCTGGAAGAAGCTCTGAGTCACTTCTCCAAGGAGTACTGATTCCGTTTAGGGGTGAATGATATTTAGAAAGCAAGGTCTGGGTGCGAGGTGTGCTCATTGCCCCTGGGGTATCTCCTCACAGACTCATTTTTTAAACTGAGTCTTTATATTCCCTGGAGATTGTTCACTGATCTGAATTCTGAAAATGGACTTTATTAACCAACTGTGCTCCAGTAGGGGGAAGAACCAAAGGAAATGCTTACTAACTAGGGAGAGGAGAAAGGATGTATAAATAATAATGAGTTTAAAGGATTACCAGATCTTTCTCCTCACCGTACTCATCTAGCTCTAAACAAGCACTTCCAGAGGACAGATCAGGCTGGGAGTCAGGAAAACTGGGTTCTGTTTCGTCACTTAACTGCTTACGTCAGTGTTCTTAGAAAATTCTTCCACTTTGAAAAGGCTGTTCTTTATTTGTAATTCCAGTTTGTTCCTGGGAGCATGTCCGTGCAGCATCCACTTACTCTGCCACCATTTCTTTTCCTTCCCTGATTCTTCAAAAAGGCTGTTTTTTAAGTGAATATAGGAAATTTTCATATTGTGATATATTAAGGAATATGGTTAAAGCTCCTTTGTTTAAAAAAAGCTCCAAATATGATAAATGTCATTACATCTGTATCTGTAGACTATTTAGGCATGATGTTGTGTGCAAAAAGGCAGATCTCTCTGATTACCGTCCAGCTTCTCAGTTCCTTGAGGTCTGAAGTTGTTGATCATGTTGTGATATGGGATAAATTTCTCACAGTAACATTTACCTGTCTTATTTATTGCAGCAAATATACGACTCTCCTCAAAGATAGTGAAAACAGGCTATTGCTCTTCCCATCCATGTAAGTACAATTTATTTTTCAAAGTGTTTCTTAGAAAGGATAACTGTATATACTGTATATAAAATATACAGTTTTCTTGGTACTTTATTACATAAAAATATTAAAATGACAGCAGAAACCCTAGATAATAATTGCCCACAATTCTGTTATCTAATCAGTGTTTTCATTTGTCCAATTGAATACTCAGTTTTTACATATTTATCATGTTTAAGTACTATAAAATGCTTCCTGACAGTTTTAAAATTCTTTTGATTGTTTTTAAATTTTTTTTTATTGTGGTAAGAATGTGAGATCTGCTCTCTTAACAAATGTTTGTGCAATACAGTGTTAACTCTTAGTGCTACAGAAAATCTGCAGAACTTACCTTGCAT